CTTTAGAGCCAATGCTAAAGGGGCTCTTCAGAACCAATGGTCAATGAATGGCCAAATAAATGAAAATGTGTATCTGATCAGTATAAACTCTATTGGTATCTTCTAGACAGGTGTTATAGTAAATACTATGCATATTAAGATTTATATTTATTTTTATGCACATTAAAAATTTATATTCGAGGAAAAGTTATGAAAAAGTTTTTATTCAAAAAAGTTTTGAATTTTTCAGTAATGATTGTTTTTTTTTTAGTTTTCACAAGATGGTTATTTCATTTTTATGTAAAAATGTTTTATTATTGTTTCATGAAATTTTTATGGGAAATATGCACAACCTACTGAGCAAGTAAGCTCATCCCTAGTTGTCGGATTCTTTTTCAGGAGAATGATCTAGGAACTTATGGCAGAGAGGCAGTTTACTTACCGTAGTAGGATTGGATGGAGACGGAGTGACAAGCTTTTCTTTTAGTTTGTCTTGTGTGTGTAAAGCATAGATTGTATGTTTTATGAACTTTGGGAATTATTATATTGACTTATTTAATGTTTGATGTTATTGAAGACTTGTAGAAGAGAAAACAATATATATATATATATATATATATATATATATGTGTGTGTGTGTGTGTGTGTGTGTGGTGTAGTGGCTCTTTTATGTCATATTTGAATGAACATTTTACAAGTTTATGTTGGGATGAAAATTAGTTTTTACTTTTTATCGTACGACTATCTGTTCCCGCCTCGCCTTTGCGAGCTTACCAGGTCGGGTCATGACAGTGGACCAATTAGGTTGACATTGGTGGATATAGGGTGTTATGGCATGATTGATGGGTACATGGAAGGTGAAGACGGGTCAAGGGATATGTAGGGGAGTAGTATTGATCATATAGGTGGTTCAGGTGAGGGAGGATTTTCTCCCATTGGAGTTAGAGAGTACTGATGTCATTCTGGGGATAAAGTGGTTGCAAACCTTAGGAGACACCAATGTCAACTGGGGAGTATTGACGATGGAGTTGATGGTGGAAGAGAGAACCGGAGAAGGGTAGTAATCAAGGGTGATGCATGGCTCACAAAAGCCATAATATCACTTAAAACCAAGGTGAGGAGTATACAAGAGGTGGAGGAATGTTATCTGATGGAACTACATAGGTCGAAGGGGATCAAATTGGAGGACGAGGACATTCCTCTTGCAGTACAACCATTGATTCAGCAATTCAGTGAGGTTTTTAGCCACCTCAAGGGTTGCCTCTTCCGCGGGAACACGAGCATGCTATTATCTTAAAGGAAGTAGTTTCACCTCTCAATGTTAATCTGTATTGTCATCCCCAATGCCAAAAGGATGAGATCAAAAGATTGATTAGGGATATGATGGAAGCAGGGAACATTCAACCCAGTATCAGTCCAATGTTATTGATAAAGTGCTTTAGCAGTAGTTTCCTTTGTTCCACCATGAGGACAAGGTGACACTTTGGGAGGGGAGTATTGCTAGACTGATCCACTGAACCGGTCCATACGGGACTGATTTGCTAAACAAAGGCGGAATCTCCGCCTCTTGCAGATGTCGCGCGATTCAAATGTCCAAACGGAGCTATTTAGGAAAGATTTTTGAGGGATTTTGGAGGGAAATTTGAATGTAGGGGTTGTTTAAAGATTTCCTTTTGAATTGTATGCATTAAATAGTTTGTTTTCCTAGGGTTAAGTCATCTTGAATTTGGCTAAAATTTGATATCTCTTAGATTTCTTTTGGGCTCTAGCGGCGTCTAGAGATTTGGGAGAGATAGATCCTCCTCTTGAATACAAGATCAGTTATATCTTGGTATTTTTTGTTTCTATTTCATCAAATAATACAAATTATCTGCAGTTTTCGTGGTTTTGTGGTTTTGTGGGGATTATTGTGGAGAATTTTTGCGATTTTCCAAAGATTGATAGGAAATTCTTGAGATCTTCAAGTGTTCCCTATCATTTTACCATGTCTATGATCAAGATAAATCATATGAAGATCATTTTGATACTCTTTAAATTCTAATTAATTACCCAAATACAAGTGTTGTGAATTAGGGTAGACCCAATTCAATCATTGAGAGTGGAAATAACAAAATTAAAAATATGATCAACACACAAAAGCACACCAAGAATTTTATATTGGATAGCCTACTTGATTGCGACACATTGGTTGCACTACATGCAGATTTCACTATGATTTTATTATTATAAATTTTATAGTCCTAAATTCTCAAGATGCAACATAAAAATGTTGCCCTCCTCTTCATAACAAATAACCTGGGATAGCCAAAAAAATATATTAAAATATCCAAAACAGCCTTAATCAATAACCTACAAATATTGGATATCCTTTGCATGGCGTGTTTTCTTTGCAAGGAAAAAATTAGGCTTCACAACTCAAAAAAAAGTTACATCCATAGCAGATTTATCTAACATAAAATCAAATTGACTATACCACAAATGTGATTTTTCTCAATTTTTATTTCAACACCCTCTACCATAATTTTATAGATCCATCTTATGTTTGATTTTCCTCAAAATACAATCACCTTAAGCAGCCCAATAAAAATTGGATCATTCTCCATGCACTTTGCATTCTTTCAAAAAGATTTGTTAACCATATAATTTGAATATCTCTTAAATTCTTAGGACCAAAATAGGTATCTCACTTGAATGTATAGTTCTACCTTCATGTATCAACTTCTAAGGTAACTAAACTTCTTTTTATTTAAAAAAAAAAAAAAAGAATAGTTACATAATTCTATTTATTTCTTCATTCTAAAAAATATTCTTCTTTAAACCTTTATATAATAATTTATCAAAATTACAAATTCATTTTTCCTTCTTGTCTCCATCTTTACTTAAAATCCTATTAAATTCATTCTCAAACTTTATTTTGTTCCTTTCTGGTGTTTAGCCTTTTAAGAGAAATAATTTTTTATTATATGAAAAAATGCATTGAAAAAGAAAACAAATTTTGTTTTATGTGAATTTTATTCATAGAAAAATGACCATGTTGCACTTGCACCTTCTCTCAGACTTCTTGAGTATATAAGTTGATTTATGGAGCAACACATATGTCTATGTAAGTGCATGATGATTTTATTTCATATAGTACGATAAAAGAGCATTATTTCCGCAATTGTACCATATAAAAGCCTTATTATACCTAAATTCACAATCTCCACACAGCTCCAAAAATGTTAATGGATAAAATGAAAATACTGAATTCTTTTTGCTTGGGGCCTGTTATATGAATCATTTTTCTTCATTGTGTTGTATTATGAATTAAATTCTCATTTAAATCTGATAAGAAATGATCATTTCTAATCAAGTATTTTTAGATCCACCTTTAAATTCTCACTTAACATTGATCTCATCCAATGCATCCACTTTCCTAACTGAGTCATCAGAAAGCCAAATTTCATGTCGTCATGAATGAAATCTGACATTGACATTTATTGAAGGGTGAAAAAACTAAAAATAAAATTGTCCGTATATATATTCTATTGCCACAACATGACATATATTATATAATTCATAATGATATTAATTATACATCTTCAATTATGAAAGAAAATAATCCTTATAATACTTATCTTGCAACTAAAAAAATATCTAATTAAGCTAGACTCGATAGTGTTTCCTCTTCATAAAATTTTCACACCCATCCGACACATATTCAATAATCAATAAAATCAAATTTCAAAACTGAGAATAGTTAATAAAATTATTGACTGGCAACAAAACAAATTGCCTTGTGATCAATCATGGCTGAACAAGACAATGAAAGCCTAATTAAGTTACAGATAATAAGAAGCCACATCTCTTCCAGATCCATATCTTTTTTAAAAATTCATTAAAATGGCAAGAGAGATAACCAAGGAATTATCAACATATTAAAAGGAGTGATTAATTTAAGGCTTGAGAAGTTCAGGGACTCAGTTCTACCGATTATAATTTATATATCTCAATCTATAACTTAATAGTATATATCCTATCAAATAAATTATCACAATTTTTCTCTTTGCCTATCTTTTTAACCTCTTTGTAATTATAATAAATTTAATATGATTATTGAATATCTTAATTGTGATTATTTTGTCACTCTAAACGAGGATTTCTTTAAAATATTTTATGCATCTCATTCTTCAAATCTCCTTAATTATATACAATCTCTTAATGCAACTAATTTTTTAATCCTGCATCAAGTTTGTTTCACCTTAAAGTTGAAATTATCTCTTTTGCTAACCCACCTTGAAACACCAAATCTTGTTCACCTTTAGGTTCCAAAAATTTTTCCCATATGAGAAAAAGTAAATGTTGATGAAAGGTTTATAATTTAATTGTAAAATATATCCCAAAGATTATGTTGTGCATGGTATATATTTTAAGGGGCCTGTTTATCATAGGTTTATACTGCTTGCTTTTATTTTTTGAACAATAAGCAATTTTATTATATTTTGTGTAATAGCCATGGAAAATAATCTAGTTCTACGAGCTTGAAAAGCAGTTTTCTTGGAAGAGCACTTTTATAGCTTTCAAGGAAGAGCGCTTTTATAGAATCCAATTTTTTTATCGTATCAATTTATTAATTTAGTTATAAATTAATTAAGATTAAAATATTATAATTGTATAAAAATCATAATATATCTATTTCAATCATTGTATCTACTTATATATCTGTTGCAAGTGCTTTTACCAAATAACCACAACTCTTACAAACCTCTAAAGAGCAATTTCAACATGATTTTATCAAACAAATATCTGATTTACTCCACAACACAACACAAAATTGCTAGGGTAGCAGAAGAAGCCAAAAAGAGACTAATCAACCTTCTTATTTCAAGTCAAAGAAGCAACTATATTTACTATTTCAATTTAAAAAGCAATTAAGTTCTATTTTATAGTTTGACGCATTATAAGATTTTTAAAAAGGGTGGAAAGGGGAGGGGGTTCTCCTATTCAACGATATCAAAACAACTTTAGAAAATGGTAATCACCTGAGGAATATTGTTAAATCGAATGACGTGATCAGAAAGTGTTGATCCAGGGAAAACATCTCCTCCAATTGCAATGCCTGAAAGATTTTAGTTAGGTAGCAAAACTTTTATGTCACCATCGCATCAAACAAACATGCAAACGAACAAGAAGGCCACATCTTCAACATAGAAATCATGAAGGTTTTTAGAGGTAGACAAGCATCAAGAGGGGAGTTAATGTGGCAATATCCAAGTACCTTCAAAAATTCCATCAGTCACACGTGCAATTGTATTATAAAGCTCATTTGACATTCCACCCTGTCATTTGAAAACAAAATTACTAGTCTTCAACAGTTATAGAGATTGTCAGCAATAAATCATACGTTTTTAGAATTGATGAGATAAAATAAATCATAAAAATAAATGAATAAAACATTTATAACCATCAGTCAACGATTATTCCCACTCAACTCATGAACCAATGAATATGCATGGGAGTTATTGACTCTTGAACCATGCTTGATAATGGTAAAAATCAACAAGATCCATGAAAGTGCATGAAACGCTTGATTTCAAGAAAATCATTAGCTTTGATACTAGCTGTTAGGAGTGTATCAACTAAGGGGTCTAACTTCAGCCCATTATATCGTGGATGGTCACCCAGCAACACAAATACCTAGAATAACGAGTAAAGGATAACTAAAACTATTTCAATTCCCATAAGTTTTTTTAAAACTATTTAATGCGGAACTATTTTTCACTCATATATGCATCTCAACACCTTCAATTTGCTATGTTGTACGAATTTCAATAAGACATCCACCAGAATTTCTATTTCAACTAGATTCCAATAGGCTCTAACTTAATCCATTATATAGCCTTATCAATAAAGGCACACTACACTATAGAGATACTTGAATTACTCCCTAATAGCCACACCCGAAGAATAAAATGACACTACATTTCCTTTTGCAATGGCATGATCCAGGAGTCTAGAATTTTTCTTCCTTTTTTTTAAAAACTGCTCCTGTTATCATGCCTCCAGCAAGATCTTAGAAATTAGAATAATCAAAATATAAGAGTGAAGCAGAAGTAAAATAGGAGGCCAGGAAAAATTAGACATACTGATTTAGAGACAAAACCAACAGATCCAGGTCTATAGAGTTTGCACTGAATTATATTGTCTATTGTTCCTGCTGTATCACCAATCTTAAAAGCTCCAGCTTGGATACCCCCAACAGTGGCAGGACCAATGACAACCTGATAATATTGGCAAAATTGTTTGGTTAATATGCATAGCGTGCAAAATTCAAATAGTAGAGCAATGCATATAGGGCATCCCAAGATGCAATACTTCCACAGCTTGTAATATACCGATGCTTGAGGTTTTGAATACAGAATTTCTATTGTAGTGTAGCAAAACAGTCTTGCTAGCTTTTCCTGATGACAATAGTGTTTTTTTTTTTTTTGGATGGGTTAAAGGGTTGTTTTGATTTGGCATAAGGTGTAGATGCAGGCAACGATATGTGGATGGTTTTGGGGATGTTTGATGGGCATGAACAGTAGATATACTACATATATTAGATGTTGATATTGATTATCATTATCAAGTTTATCAGCAGTACTCAAATTATTAAAATAAAAATCCCTATATCCCTACTCATCATGAAGAATAAGTTTTTGAATTAGATGAGGTATCGGATATGCCCGAATGTCTAGAATTAATAGACTTTTTGAACCTTTGAAATTCAAGAAACTGAGGCATAATATGATCTTTCATCATGATAAGATGATTTTGGATAGAAATAGGCAGGACAATTATATGCATAACCACGTTGGATTTATATTAATGATGAAATTCATGATCTTCATAAGACAATCATCACAGGAATATTGATAAAAATTACATACGTCAACATTGATATGCCTAGAAGATGATTTATAACATTTATGGGATTGCCCGTGATTAAAATGATAATCACAATTGTAATATAACTAATTGTAATGATGAGATCTACTATAATATGACTCCTTATAGTTATTTTGGTAAGAAAAAGAGTTCTGATGATCTTTGTAATTATGATAATTATCATCAAGATGATTATATGATTCCTCATTAACTTCATCTAGTACGTTAAGGAAAATATTTCAACCAATCATTATAATACATACTAATATTGATGCCAGTTATTATAATAAATGAAATATCGAGCTATACTCACATCGAACATATATTTAACCCATATCCAAACTATATCAGAAATAATATTTTGTACTTGATATTTATGAACATGATGAAATATGTCCAAATTTGTATTAGTGATCCCAAAGGGAATCAGAAGAATTTTGTAATTCCGCTAGCAAGTTTTTATGTTTGCAAAGCATCTCAAAAGCATATTCTATGCAATCTTAGAGTTCAATTTTATTGACATTATGGAATTCATGGTAGTGTGAGATGGATAATAGTAAGAGATGGATACGGTTCAAAAAGATATAAATACAATTATAACCATGAAATTCTGCTCTCATATCAAATTGATGCAAAGTGAAAACGAGTGAAGAAATTGCAGTGAAACAAAACCAATTTCAAAGCTTGATTTTCCTAATTACCCAGGATTATTTTGGTTTGGCTTAAGCATGTACAGGTGGTGAAGGTATGTGGGAATTTTGGGAGGATTTTGGGGATGTTTGATGGGCAAGGGCAGCAGGTATGCCATAGGGATTTCGAATTGGATGATAAGAAAGCAAGAGGGAGATGTTGCCAGCCAGTAGTTAGCCATCATGAGGTGCAAGCGGATCTGGAATGATCTTCATAGAATATTGAGTATTTTGGAGGAAAGGGAATTGGGAAACCATTGGAATGAAAAGTTGCCAAGGGGAAGTATGTTGTGGAAAGGGTTAAGGCTCTTAGAAATTCCACTTGGAGAGAGAATATCGGGACTGAGAGGAATCTTAGGAGTGAGAATGGTAAGGAGAAATCTTTTCAAATTCATTCATAATTAAAATTGCATCCATTCAACACCTACATATAAAAAGTGTTAAAACATTAAATCAAATTAACTTAAAACTTAGATCTACATAAGTCCTAAAATCTTATTATATAATTCGAGATTAAGATCAGCCTAACATTAATTAAATAAAACTGAAATAAAATAAAAAAAAATGAAATACTAAATTATTCTAGAAATAATCTAGAATTGATTTTTCCTGTTTTGAAGCATGCTCTTATTACCTTGTTATTAGTCCGTGCATATGCAATCAATAGCTTAGTGTCTGACTCTGGAACACCTTCAGCTATAATGGCAACAACCCGGATTGTTGGTTGCTTTAGTGCGGCCATTGAAGAAGCGGCTGCACTGAAAAAGTAACAAAGATAATCAACATATTTGAAAAATTGGGAGTGAGAAAACTATAACAGAAAATGAAGAAAATGGTAGTGCTAGGTCCAACCTTCTGAAAGATGCAAAGTTGATAAAAACATCAGCGGTTGGGTGTGCACTGCAAGCTGCTTCAATGCTGCCATAGAAGTTCACAAATAGAAGATAAATTTGCTGATAAGAGTGCTGCCTTACAAATCCATAAAACTGGAGTGAAGTGTTTTTTCATTAAAACCATATAAAATGGCAAAATGACAGAAAGATGAAACCCATAAAAAGTGGCAGCTTTTGCTCAACCCTATACTAAAATTAATATACATAACACAATGGAATCAGCATTAGTAGGTGAAATTTTTTATAATGATGTAATACACAGACTTCTTAGGATTCTTTTTATCTCAGTTAACTGAAAGCATTTCAAATGTAAATATAGAATATAAATATAAAACATAGCTACAATGCGAGTTTTTTTTTTTTTTTTACTAGGATAGCAAGGTCTCATCCTTGTTCCAACAGATTGCTTTACCTAGCAATCATGAGTAATAAATTGAGGCAGCCACATGGCATAATGTACCAAATGTCATCAAATTTGTGAATAAGTCTTCAGTCTTCAGCCTTATAAATATTAGTAAAGCGGAACAAACTTAGTGCTAGAATTTTCATGTCCTGATCTCAATAAAATAAGTATCAAGAAGTATCAAGTGATGAAATTAATTAGTGATATATAATGTTTCCTCTTTGGGACATACACTAAATGAATCATCAACTACAATTTCTGTGAATGTAGGCCTTGCTAATGGACCTAGCATCAGATGCAACTTCCAAATGGCTTTCGATTTAGGACTACAGTTAACAGTTTTCACAAACTAAAAAAAGCTTAAATGTAAAGGTAGTGATTATCTACGGAAGTTTCACTTCTAAAATTAATAGCACCTTGTTTAACGGAAGCAAAACAAGGAATTGTATCAATAGCAGGCTCAGGATTGGTGCTTTTAATGCTTTTCACCAGCATGTTAAATCTCATATAAAGATCTGAAGGGAGCAAAAAATAGCTAAGCAAAAACAGTTCTTTGATCCTTCAAGCATTTTTATATTTGATCAGGATGTATCTGAATCAGAATGGGCTAATGATAACCTCATCTTTCGGCAATGAATTCATGTAGTTGTTGAAGGTTTTGCCTAAAGGGATTAACTTTTTATTTATTTTACAAGGCATTCATATGATAACACAAATCATTTAACGCAAAGAGGAGAGTTGACCTTGAATGAACTGGAATGGCAATTTCTTCTTGGCCAAAGAATAGTTTCTGGAACCCTTCAGAACCAGGATTTATAATTCCAGCAACAGAAGGAGTTTCCCTCCCTACAAAGTAAATCGAAATGATCAAACAACAACAAAAAAATAATTACTAGTTTCATACAACAAAATAAGCGCTTTCTAATCCAGAGGGAACAAGCCCGTAACAATGAAACCATACCGCAAAGAAAGTCGAAGTCAAGCATCCGCTGGATTGGAAGTTGCTTGTAATTGTAGAACAATGCTTGAGTATTTCGCGAGAAAATTTGTCCTGTAGCCATGATGCAAAATTAAAACAGCTCTGCCTGCACATAAACATAGAGTTAGTGTCATTCTCCACACGTAGTAGATCAGGAGCTCGAACCCTACTAAATGCAGGTTTTTGGCAAGGCCCAAAGGTATATTGCATCAAAATCATCAGCCAAAACAATTGAAATGGTCTAAAGTCCCCAAGTAAACTAATAAATTATCAAGCTGAAACTGCCAAATCCAAGTTCAACCCATGAAAAAAATAAAAATAAAAAACAAAAAATAAAAACCCAATTAGGCTCCTATTTAATTAAAAAATAAAGACCATAAACCAAGTCACAATATCTCACTTCGCAGACCTTATTCTAGTAAACCTTCTCCCACCAAAATAAAACCATAGATCGAACCAATAACCCACAATTGATATCAGTACCAGAGTTTGGAAACTCGAAATGGGACAGAGCAATTCGATGCATAAATCCAAACAGCAGAAACACAGATCGCGCCAATAAGATGCAAAGCAACACTCGATCATCCATTTCCAACGTAAGCTCATCTACTATTTCAAATGGAAACCAACAACACAGCTGAGATCTCAGATCGGATGTTACTATGCCTACCTCCGTCGATCCGAGAGCTTCCGCAGTTCTCCACCAGACACAGAAAATTTCGGATAAACGACGGATTTATACAGCACAACGCGGGTAGAAGAGAAGACTCCCCAACTACCCCATCTACCGCCCTCGAACGATGGAAGATACCTGATGCGGGCTTTGGTACGGAGCACGTTCGGTTGGTTAGCTGGCATATGGTCCAAAAAGAAAAAACCTTCTCTAAGCTAGCAAATTATTATGTGGGAAGTTACATCTGGGAGATCAATAAAAATATGTCACTTCATCTCAAAAATATATCATATTTGGTATCGATTGGTAACAAGCGTAATCGAACTGTTCTTCCGTCCAGTGTCCGCACAGAATAATCTCTCATCTAAGTTAGGGGTGTCAATATTGGACTCGATCCCAAAATCCGACCCGAATCTAACCCGAAAATTTTATGTTTGGGCTGACCCAAACCTAAAGCAAGCCAAGTTATGATCCAAAAAACTGGCCCGTTTACAAAATCGGGTAGGGTTCGGACCCGAAAACCAGAGAATGACTCGAAAAAACTTGTTTGCCGGCTCTGACCACCCCTGCCAGCGTCTACTCGCGTTGCCTATCCTGCGATCTGTCTGCCTGTGTCGAATCACATCACATCAAGTCATTGTCGTGTATGCCCGCAGTTGCGCTACCCGTCTGCTTGGTGTCGCATTGCCTCTGTCATTGCTGCTGCTGTCGGCTCCCACTACCGGAGGAACTAACCGCGTGCATGAGTTATTATAAATCGGAATAACCGAATAAGGTTTAAGACTTGTGGGTCGGGTTTGGGTCCGAAAAACCTACCAGTTTGTATAATCCTGTCATGTTCCGGTTGACCCGAATAAAATCGGGTAAGTTATGAATTCGACCCAAACCCGACCCGACCCAACCCGTGTCCTGAAATTAACACCTCTACTATAAGCCTCTAGTTTGAGAGAGATTATTAAACACAATTTATCTTGATCTGTTGGTTGGGAATCTAGTTTATCAACTAAGAAGTCTCAAATTCGAGCATTGTGCATACGATGTGTGTGTGAATCTTCTTTAATTGGCCTAGATGTCTCAAAAAAAGAGAGAGATTATTAAGTACGTAGTCTAGAATCTTTCGGTTTTGCGACTGTAAACAGTAAAAAGGCAATGAGGAACAGTAACTATGCTTGTACTATTCATAGTCACACAATTAAACAGTTCTCCGAGTCCGAACTCCGCACGTAATAATTTCTCTCGTTTGAATGATTTTTATATTTTTTTCCTTATTGTTATTTATTTTATAATAATACTATTTTGTTTATATTTTAATGTGCATTTATTTTTATTTTTCAAATCATATTCTCAATCTTAGATCCCCATAAATTTTGTGATTATAGATTTGTATGGAATTTAAAACAAATAATGCACACCTAAAAATAGCTCTGAACTTTCTGCTTTCATAATGTAAGTCGATAAGTTTACTTTAAGTTTTATTTTTATTTTCCTTCAACCTATAATTTTAGAAGTTGGAAGAAACTAACAATATGATATAAGAATGCATTTTAATTAGGACAAAATCTTGATTGCTAAAATTTCTAGTGATTTAAGTATGTATTAGGATCTTAAAAGTTGATGCACACCTAAAAATAGCTCTGAATTTTCTGCTTTCATAATGTAAGTCGATAAGTTTACTTTAAGTTTTATTTTTATTTTCCTTCAACCTATAATTTTAGAAGTTGGAAGAAACTAACAATATGATATAAGAATGCATTTTAATTAGGACAAAATCTTGATTGCTAAAATTTCTAGTGATTTAAGTATGTATTAGGATCTTAAAAGTTTTATTTACCACATTTTTTTTTCTTAAATCATGGGTCTCTAAGATAACTCGATAGGATTGAATTGGTGCCTTATTTAATTAGGTTTGGTTGAACCAACGATGGCCAAACTTAGAATGTTGTGAAAACTCCCACAAAGATCAAGTGTATTGCAGTAAGACATGCAATACTAATAAACTAGAGTTTGAAAGAGATTTGTAAACCCAAACTTGGGTTTTATTGTTATGAGGTGCACCCAATTAAAATACCCATCATCAAATTAATATGCAAAATATAACAATGTCATGGTATGCCTTTTGTAGTCCAACACTTATAACAATATCGGAATAAGTATTTTCGGACTTCTGGAGCTTTGACGTCCGAAAAAAGGGGGCAACTGTTATATCATCAAAAAATTATCTTGATCGGGCACAAATCTCGAGGAAAAATCATGCTGAAACTCAAAAATTAAATCTGGGATCACCTTAACTCCGATTTCAGCAAACTTACAATCAAACTGAGCGTCTCAGAAATACGAACCCAACGACACCAAATTCGACTCAATCCAAGCTCAAATGAGTCCAAATCAAGGACCTGAAGTGATGTTGGAAAGTTCGAAGCACAATTTGAGTTACCAAACGGTTTTCAAACATAACGTGCTTAAAGTCGAATCGAGCGGCTCGACGAGACTAATCCAACGAGATATCGCCGAATTCCGGCATCATTAAGACCTTCAAATGTCTAACGAATGGTACACGATCAAGGGATTGAATATCGGTCGTCCATCCAACGACTCCCCATTTACCTCTGATCTCTCATCTATTTACGGGTCATGCCACACCATAAATCTAGAAATAGACCTCATTTCTCTTGAGGGGGACCCAAGTAAGAAGAGGAGAAGAGAAGAATAGGAGGAAAGAAACTCCTACTCGACCACCCCCGGAGTTCCGCCCAACTTTCAAGTGACGCCGAAATTCTGTCCAATCTCCGAGTGACGCCGGAATTCCACCCGACCTCCAAGCGATGCTAGAGGTCTACCCAAACTCCAAGTGAAGCTAGAGTTCTGTCCAACCTTCAAGTGATGCTGAAGTTCTACCTTAACTCCAAGTGACGCTGGAATTCTGCCCGACCTCCAAGTGACTCCGGAATTCCGCCCGACCTCCAAGTGACGTCGGAGTTCTGCCATAATACCATCTAACGCTGGAGTTATCCTCGGCCGCCAACTAACGTCGGACTTCTACCTAACGCTGGACCTCCGCTCGTCGCCAAGTTTCTACCCTATATCGAACTTCTGCCTGTTGTCAAATTTTCGCCAAACATATATCTGATGTTGAATTTCTGCCATTGCTAGACTTCTACTTGACACAGTCCTTCTAACCTCCGTCACCCGTCGACTACGGTCCTTCTGATTTACGTCGCCCACCGACTACAGTCCTTCCGACCTCTGCGGTCTGCCGACTATGGTCCTTCTAACTTACGTCGCCCACCGACTATAATCCTTCAAACCTCTGTCGCCCCGCCAACTAAGGTCCTTCTGACTTACGTCGCCCATCGACTATAATCCTTCAAACCTCTATCGCCCCTCCAACTAAGGTCCTTCTGACTTACGTCGCCCACCGACTATTGTCCTTTCGACCTCCGTCGCCTGCCGATTATGATCCTTTTGACTTATGTCGCCCACCGAGTACAGTCCTTCCAACTTACGTCGCCCACCGACTAAAGTCTTTCCGACCTCGATCGCCCACCAACTACAGTCCTTCCGACCTCCATCGCCCACCAACTACGATCCTTCTGACTTACGTCTCCCACCGACTACAGTCCTTCTAACCTTCGTCGCCGGGACTACGGTCCTTCCGACTTACGTCGTCCACCGACTACAGTTCTTCAGACCAAACAAACACATTAGCAATGATTCTTTGTATTTCAATCATGTAATGCACTCTATAAGATGTACATCAAGTTAAGGCCTTCCCCCAAGAAAAGACCTCATTTGTAATCAACTACAAATACTAGTTGATTCATTCAAAATGGGCTAGTCCTCGTGATTTTTTCATCTTTTTTAGAGGTTTTCCACGTAAAAATCTTGTTGTCTCATAAATGTTACACCATATCTCTTATCTGATTGCGTGCCGAATTTTCGTACAAAGTTAAGACGTTAAATTTTATATTTCTCTACCGCAGCGAATAATCCAGGACGCAACAATATTGACATGTAAATGGCTTGCCCAAAGTGTTCGATGGCATGCCTATCAGCATCGATAATTTCCTGGTTATACGCTAAAGATGATTTTTTTCTTAAATTTTTTTCTCTTGCTTTTATTGTTGATAATTCGAACAGCATATTCAATGTATTCGATGAAATGCTCCATAGGATTTCAGTTTGCTCATCTTCCATTTTGTACTCTCGTCGCTCGGCATTTGGTCTCTCTGTCAAATTATAAGTTTTTGTAATATTCTATCTTTTTAAACTAATAAATTTAATGAACAAAAAATTTAAAACTTCAAATATCAATTTTAATCCCATATGAAAAAAATTGAGGGAAAATAAAAAAAAAAATTGAAATTATGTCCACCTATAAAAATTTCTAGCTTCGCCACTGATTACTATTTAGTGCGAGTTGCATTATTCAATCATTAATATGCATGTAAATGTTAATTAATGGAATCTGAATCTCAATGTTGGGTCAATGACTATTATGGGAAAATACTCTTTTTTTTATTAGAATATATTATATATTATATATTATATTAAATATAAAGTTACATTGCGACGGATCATAGATCGAAACTAGTTAAATCATTTTTTTGTTAAATCATTTCAATAGTTAAATTTTAAATCCGTCGGAAAAGCCGTCAGAAAGTCATGACGGAAAGAAATTTGCCAGAAAATTCCGCTAGAAAAGTTATCTCATTGTATCCCGTCGGAAAACCGTTCGAAAATTCCACCGTTAATGCCGGTTCCGTCGGATTTTACATTGTTTCCGGCGGATTAAGTCCGCCGGTAATAACAGGTTTTCCTGTAGTGACTCCTTAATACGTAAATCCTAAGTTTCAAATATAATTATCAGCCGTAAATAATATGATATTATTATTTTTTCAAATTAAGATAATTTAATATATGAAAAAAAAATGTTATTGTAATTATATATTTATATGAAAGCTACGTGGCAGTTTCGTTATTTTCTGAAATAACGGTGGCATTTTGGCGCAGCTTTGTCGCTTGTTCTTTAAGTTTCGTTAATGTTAGCCAGGTTCACCTAATTGTATCGCTATCAATATTTGGCCCCAGTTGGGCCGGTGTTAGCCGAACCGAATGTGAGAGATCCATCTTACCCGTTGAATTCGGTGTGGTGGTTAGGATGGACGGTTGAGATAATTGGA